TGCCCCAGCCCCCACGGGCTCTGCCTGCCCTTGAGGATCTGGACTTTAGGGTTTATCTTGTTCTGCCTGGGGCTGGCTCGGCTCCTCTCCCCTCCTTATGCGGCGCTGCTCAGTGGGGAGGTTTTACAGTGACAGTTTTATGCAAATTGTAGGTTTTTAAAGGCGGGAGCCTGTGCTGGGGTGGTCGCCCCATGGCATCTGTCCTTCCTGCAGCCCCCATGGCTGCTGCCTCATTTTGGTGGGCAGGGGAGCTTGGCCCAATGTTCCCAGAGATGAGCTGTGTCCCTGAACTGGAGCACAAAGCTCACAGGAGGTGGCTGGGAGTCTCCTGGTGCAACCAGGGCAGGGAGAGTGAGCAGTCCAGGTGTCTCTGTTTGGTACCACATTGGTGCTATTGGCATCTGGTGTGATCCTGTCCTTGGAATTCTTTCCCAGCCTACATGCACCCCATCCCGTCTAATCTAAGCTGTGGTGGCATCTCACAAGGCTGGGAATTTGGGCTGAAACGGGAGGAAGCCTGTCTCCTTCCCTGTAGTTTTGCTCTGGGCGTGTGTGAAAACTGGAGGGACCTGAGCTGCCATCTGTGCACAGTGCCAGGGGCCAGGCAGCTGCCTGCACTGGGCTCTGCCTGCTGCTTCCTTTGACACACTTGTCCTCCAGCAGATCTCAGATCTTTTCCTGTCCCAGGGATTGGACTCCTGTTGCAGTGTCCCTTCACCTTCTTGCACTCTTGTTGTCCCACAGGCTTTGGGCTCTTGCTGGGCTCCTGGCCTGCCCTGTTCCCAGAGGGGCTGGTCTGGCTCCCAGCACCCCTGCCGTCTGACTTTCCTCTATTTATTGCTTGATTGTGAATAAATAAATTGATGAATTTTGCTAAAGACCATCTTGGCCTGTTCTTGCTCTGTCCCTGGGGTGCAGCAGGTGCCTCCTGGGACAGGCTGCTGAAGGCCATATCCCTGTGCAGCTGCCCTTGTGCTTGTACTGGAAGGGGTGGGTGTAGGGGTGAATCCTAGCTGATTCAAACAGGAGCTGTGAGAACAGGCTCCCCTGGAGCATAGAGCTGCCCTAGGGGAGAGGGGACCAGATGCAACTGCAGGCAGCTGCCTCTGTGGAGCTGGGGACAAGAGATGCCCCACATCCCCCTGGTATGGGGCAAGTCCTGGAGGACTGTGGGAGGCCAGTGAGCTGGGTCTCTCTGGGCTGTTACCATGGCCAAGGTATTTATCTGCCAAGGCTATTTTGGGAAGGTGTCTGCAGGCAAAGCTGCCCGTTGCTGGGTGGGATGCCCTCTGTTTGCAGTGCTGAGACAAAGTTTCCCTTCTCTGAACAGCAAGACATAGGTAGCAGCCATCATCCTTGCCACCAGAGCTTTGTGGCACGGCCAGCTGGGGGGCTGTTTCTGCATCTTCAGCCCACGGCACTTGCCAGGGTCTCCTCTTACTTGGCCTCCAGCCCCAACTGTATTGCTCACCCAAGCTCCGTGGGGATGTTTTAGTACTTTTCCTATGTGTGTTTGCTGTTGGATAGGGTGCTTCCAGCCCCAATCCCTCCCTTTCCCACCTGTGCCAAAGTTTCTCCCCTATCCTGGCAAAGTGAGAAGCTGCAGAGGCCCAGGGTCCTCTCCTGCCCCTTGTCCCCAGTTAACCACATTCTGGTCATGAGTGGGGAATGTCTTCTGCTATTTTGGAAGCTCACAGACCTGACCCCTGAGGGAAGTTTCCCCTTGTCAATCATTAAGTGTGTGGAGTTGACTCATCCAGGCAAGGCATGATGAAAGGCATGGGGCTGGGCATGCTCCCAGCCCTGGACACCCCTGGATGCTAGTGCCTGATGCTGCCCCTGGCAGGGACCTGCACCCTCGCCTGCTGCCAGGACCCCTTGGACCTGCTGGGCACCTGGAGATGGATGGGTACTGAAGTTTGTCTGTACCAGCACTGTGTCAATAGGCTCTTGGGCTGGGCCCCCTCCCCAGGTCCCCCCAGGCACCCAAGGGGTGCCGCAGCAGCAGGATCTCCTCTGTGCTGGTGGCAGGGAAAAAAATTGGAGGAGCAGCAGTTCACAGAAAGAGCTGCTGTCCCTGGCTGACCCTGGCACTGTGCCTGCATCAGCACCAGGGCAGAGGCAGGTGGAGGGTGCAGGGACTCTAGCCTCCTGCCCTGGTGCACCTCGGGTGGGGAATCTTCCTGCATATCCCACAGCCATGTGAGCCCCCTGGATGGGGGGCCTGACATCCAATTTGGGCCAGCCATGTGGGGAGCACCAGGAGTCCTAGCTTTGGATCCAATCCACCATTAACAGGGGTCTTGCCTTTGGAATTGCTGCCTGCATGGGGGGCTGAGAGGCCTTGCTCTCCCCTGGGCTAACCAGTGCCTCCTTGTCCCCTTCTGCCCTGTTCCCAACTCCTTCCTGTGCCCCAAACCCCATGCTGGGGCTTTGCTTTGTTTCCATGGGGTCCCCATTCACTATCCCTCCTGTGGCTCCTCCCAGGCAGGCACGACCACCTCACCCACCCCCGTCCTCTGGGCTGACACTGGACCTGCCCTATGTGCTGTCACACTGCTGGGGCAAATCTGTGCTGGGCACAGCATGGGGCACTGGGATGGAACTCACCCAGCTGTGGAGAGCAGCTGCTTCCCAGGCACCCAGCCATGGGATGTAGCTGGAGGCAAGTGGTGATGCCCAGGTACTGTGGTGCCCTGTGGGTGCCCTGCAAAGGCACGGGCAGCCTCCAGCTGGGGTGGGGGTGACAAGGGCCTGTCTCTCCACCTGGAGCCACTCAAATATTTATGCAGGGTCATGACAGGGAAGGGAAGTGCCCAAGCAGAGGCACCGTGGTAGATCAGCCCTCAGAACACCATGTGCTGGCTGAGGTTGCAGGGCACCCCTTCACCCCAGCACCCCCCACTGTATAGGGTATACCACTCCCCACTGCTCACAGCCCAGGGACCTCCTGTGCACACTGTTGCGGTGTCCTCCAGACCCAGTGACTCCAGCTTAGGCACCTCCTCAGCAGAGCCCAGTTCTGCTCCCCATCCAGGGTGCCCTAGTCCAGGGTTGCCCCTGCTCCAGACACCCCAGCACAGCACTCATGGCTGCTCCGCCCCACCGGGCG